CAGTAAAAACTAAGAAACAAAATATATAAATGAAATAACTTGATAGAATTTATAAGAATTTGTTATAAGAAATAGAGACTTTATATTGTTTATTATATTATATATTTATTTGAGAATAAACAAGATTTGGAAAAAAAATAAAATATTATCACAGGTTTATTATATATGATTATTTATATCTACCTATATCTACCTATACCTACTTGTACCTATCTATATCTGTTATGTGTATATTATCTATTCTTAGTTAAATCGAATAGATACCTTAAGCATCTATTCACTATATAATCAGTATTGCTCCGCGCGCTTCCTTCTCTCCTTGTCGAATATTATATATCTTACCTAGTACCTACTAGAACCCGTACCAGCCCCGTGATAAGTATTCTACTACTCCTCTCCTTAAAACTCCCTTTCTGCTTCTTTTCTTTCCTTTTCTACTTCTAATAGTTAAAAACCAAAGCTTTTCTCTCCTGCTTTTAATAATTGAAATTTACTATTTCATTCAAGTTTTAGTCTTGAATTCAGAAGAGAAGAGAAAGAAAATAATATTTTTAATAAAATATTATATACTCGAGTAGCAAAATATTATATAATATGACTCGAGTATATACGGCAATCTACTCTTATACTAGTATTATCAAACCAAAAATGAAATATATTATTACTCTAATACGAGAACGAGAGTAGGGGTACTATAAAAAATCATAGCTCTTTTTAGTTTACTTTTATATCATTTACTAATTAATACTTGAGAGTGGAATCTAATTACTGAGTAGTCTTGAATAATTAGTACTCAGTTGTTGGATTGTTTAGAATGTATGAGATGAGATGAGATGAGATGAGTATATTAATTATAGATTAGATTCTATATTTTTAGTTAGAATCTACGAGTAGATTCAAGTAGATTCAAGTTCTAAAAGAGAGTAGTACTATAGATTCTACCCTTTTACTTATTAGTACTATACGAGTCATCTACTATATCTACCATATCTACCTACACCACTACCTCCTCTCCTCTCCCCCCCACCATATCTACCTACCCCACCGTACCTACCTATCCTCCCGCCATATCCATATCCATATTCATATCCATATCTACCCCGATCCGATAGATAATATACTATCCAACTATCCATATCCATATCCATATACTATCCATATATAACTTATAATTATAACTATCCCTATCACCATCCCTATCAAATCTCATCTCATCTCATCCCATCTCAAATCTCAGCCAACAAAGCTTCAAGTTAAACCTATACTATACTGCACTATACTATACTATATACTCGACCTTTACTATACTATATTATATACAACCTCAACCTCAACCTCAGCCTAGTAGTTTCTTTTCTTTTCTTTTCTAACAAACACTCTACACCTTACACTCTACACTCTGACTCTGACTCTAATTCTGAATTGATAATACATTAACAAGATTATAGCCTATTATAATACAATATAGCCCAAAAGTGAATTGTAAATCTGGTTATCTATTTTTTTTATCAAATCTTTTAATCTTTTAATTATATGGATTTGTTTAGTTATAAGTTTTATTACTCGTATATTGTTGAATTAAAGGGGTAAGGTAAGTAGGGCTTAAGCTCAGTTTAGATGAGATTTGACGGTATTGTACTCGAGTACAAAGCTTGGTGCCAGTGTGTTTTCGATAGATAGATGATGTATTACGAAGGGACGTCCAGAATTCAGATAGGCTTCGTTGGTGTTAGTATAGATGTTCAAAACTTGATGTTCTCTAGGATGGGACAAGATGAGGAGATTTTCAGTACAAGCATGGTATAGATATACATGAGCGGGGAAATATATAATATATAATTGTTTCTATTTATATTTACTGCAGCTAGGCTAGGCTTTGGAAGATATAAGCAGCAGCATCAAGAGCATCGATTACAGTACCAGGTAGACACTCGACCACCAAGACAACACAATACGGATGATAGTCAACTTTGATACCATACCGTCCAATTTAACATTCAAGCGTAAGAGCCAACTCAGAAGGCCTGTCTAGTATTTCTTCAGAGTCGAAGAGTAACTCAAGGCAAGGTATCAATTGATTGTCATCCACCCAACGATAACCCGTATCGTCAAGACAAGGACGCCATACTACCATAGTAGCATGAATTGTCCCAACTCAAGGTCAGGACTTTATGCTCGAATGCGCCAGTGACTCAACCACCTTCAATCCCTTTAGTTCAAACGCAGAACATCTTTATCCATCACAAACAAATCCCTATTCTTCTTAGAATGTTAGCCCACATCCCATAAACATCATCTTTTACAATCCAATCCAAACACCACCCATCACACCATTCCAATCTTCAAAAAAGAAGAAAGGAAAGAAAAAACTTCAGAACCCCACACTCAAAGCACCGTCAACGATCCCACACAGACCCAACAACCCGCTGCATATGACGATGCCACACGAGTAATTAAGTGAGTGCTTTGTTAGGGATGTCAACCTCATACGGCTCTTCCTAAAGATAATTTTGAGGGTATTGATCTCATCATTGTAGTTTTTTCTTTGTGGTGGTGATGATGGTGTGTTTGGTTGGTTGATAAGAGGGGAGAGAAGAGAAGGGCAAACTTACGTATGGTTATGTTAGAAGAGAGGTAGGTGAGATGTGTGGGTGAGTTAAGATTTCGTTTTAGTGAGTTGGTGAAGGACAACACGATGTGCGAATTGAGCTGCTTCATTAGTGATGGAACTGGCCATCGCAATTGCCAATTGATATTGTGTAGGTATTTCGACATCTTGTCCATGGATATAGATCATCGCGACTTTTCAGTCTTTTGAATACTCTCCTCAACCGTCACATCTCTTCCCTTCCAGTGGCAATCAGCATCTCACTCTCACTTCACCTCATTGTAATTCTCATCTCCTCTCTTCAAACAGAGCAAGTCATTTCCAGCCACACATCATCGTTGTGCGATAACATCATTATTTATCATATTTTCGAGTTATGATGATGATGATGATGATGATGATGATGTAAAAAAAAAAGGTATTCTTGCAAATTAGCCAGCTCGAAAAAAATATTTTTAGCTTGCTCAAGCTTTCCACGCTAAGGTCTCTAGCTCCAACTCAAAGCATTACATAATACAAGCATATATTATCATCACGTGCTGATAATGCATAAACTATATCATTGGTCAGAGCTCCGATGCTCTTCCCTCAAGCGGCCGCATGGTTAATAAATCATATCACACATCCACGGCCCAATATCTCAAACACCCTCTGCCTCAAGAATTAATAGAAGTCCCATCCCAAGTCCATCCCAAGTCCAGATCCCTCAAGCTCCCTCAAGCTTGAACCCTACCCTACCCTTCCCTTCCCTCCTC